AAACTCGGACTATCGTGAATGTACCTGGCGAACAAACTCGGACTATCGTGAATGTATCTGGCGAACAAACTCGGACTATCGTGAATGTACCTGGCGGACAAACTCCTCCAGGTTATGTCGCAAAAGAGTATGCAGTAGTGTTTCAGAAGGGCGGCATGCATCCGTTTCTCACCGTCCTCGTGGCAACCTAGTACTGTGTCTGAGCTGGTTGCAAGCATAACCACTTGGGTAAGCCTTTCGTTTTGTTGAGGACAGCGGTAGGCTTAGCACACGACAGATGTGAGCAGCATAGCACATATGCAGAAAATCGAGTTTCGTGTCCGACATGCCAACGGTTGTGCTGCACAACGCCAGAAAATGGAACTCTAGTCTCATGCAATAATTCAGGGAGGTTCAGGGAACTGCGTCGCTTGTCGGAAAAGCTCTGTGATGTCTATATGCTACGTGAGGCATCTAACACCGCAGGGCCATTTTATGTGCCGTTACTACAGATCGCAACCCTCTAACACTGCAGGGCCAATACCACACGAAGAAGAGAGGTCAAGTGAAAATAAGACGAAGCGAGACAAGTGATTGGATATATTCTCTCACCCCTGCTTGATGCATCTGACAACTGGTATCGGTTAGAATCGATCAGACGAGTTCTCCTCGCACCGTGGACGAGGTTGGGTTGAAGTAAGGGGAAGGATACCCCTGGAACGCAGAAAAGAGATGGAAAAGTGGTTAAGACCGAAGAAACCAGAGTCTTGAGGGCTTGTGTGCGTCTACATCGGTGAGGAAAGACAGTGTCTACATCGGTGAGGAAGAATTGGTTCTGTCAAGATGTCAGACCCTCTGGTGTTGTCGCAATCTCTCGAAGACCCATGGGCATTGACTGATGTTTTGAGTTCGCCTGTGAAAGATTGTAGGGGTGGTTTTTAAGTTGAGCTGAATCGTTTTGGTAGAGGAATAAGGTCATGGTGACCACTGGGGTTGTCACTGAAAGGAAGTATCTGCTTTTTGACTGATCTCTTGCAGGAGAGTAAAATTAGCGTCGGGCAGAGAAACATCATCATGGTTATCGTAAAGGATTCACCAGGATATTGGGAAAGACTTGTGAAGGCTGAGGGAAAGGCGCCTCCTTTCCTGAAGGTTGACTGGAACAAGTGGGTAGATGAGGACGAAGAGCAGGAGTCTTCAAATTGTAAGTCTACTTCTCTTGAGTAATCTGTGTACTTGGGTACAGCTGGAATGATATGCCATGAACTGACTTGTACACGGCATGTTGCTTTCTGAAGAAGTTCAGTATGTATGGATTCATTTCTTTGTATCCTTTCCGTTGCTGTGCAATGCTGCTCGGTGCCGTGTTCGAAAGAAACCCATCTTCTGTTACGATGAAGATTCATAACGTGTTGTTGTCCCTTCTCCAATTGTGATTCTTCTTGTCCTTGTGCGTTTTGCGCTTGCCTTGTGAAGGTGCTTCGCTGATTGTTGTGCCATGATGTATCACCTGTCAGTGCAGATAGTTGATGGGCAAGCTGTTACAGCAAAGGGTGAGGTATTTGGGAAAGATGGCTAATGGAAGGAAATGCAGCAAAAAAACCGGATATCCGGCATGACTAGTGGAAGTTCTCATACGGATTTCCTTGTTCTTCTTTCTTTTTTTCCAAAAAAAGGGAAAAGCATATTCATCAAATTTCGTCCGGGACCCAAAAAAAACGTATGTTGTAGATGTAAACAATACAAACAACGTTGGCCTTGATGTCATCTTTGATATTCTAACCAAAATTAAGATAAAAATAAAATAAAATAATTAAACAATTGTTGAGATAAAATAAATTGAGCAACTCCTCTCGAAACCCCTCCTATCTGTACCTCCTTTGACCCTTCCATGACGAATCAAGCTTTTGATGAAGCAGGAGCATCGGTCTGTTGTATTTAATATGTGCAATATCACTTTTTTGTTTTGACGTTTATTTCTGAAAAAAAAATTCCGGAAATCTAGATAATCCCACCCCCATATAATCCGGCCAGAGAATCCGAACAGATTATCCGTGGGTTTAATTGGGTCTGAAGATGCTGTTGCATGATTTCCATTCCTCTGCTGGCTTAATCGTTGATCAAGGGTCGTTGATCAAGGGTTTGAATGCGGCTAATGCAGATGTGGTGCATTTTTGGCATTTATATTACTAGGTCGTGTATTTCATTGCAGCATACTCCCTCACGTTCTTACTTATTGTCTCCCTTTTTGTGGGGTTAGATGTACGTTTCCCCCCTATGAATTATAGCCTAACATACATCTCCCTTTTAGTGGGGTAAGATGTACGTTGAAACAGATGGGCGCTGCATTTTTGTCTCCCCCTATGAATTATAGCCTGTCACGATGTATGTTTGTCATGGTTTCCTTTGTGTTTTTATTCTTTGCTGGAAGTTTGCGCTTGTGTATCGTCCCTTTCGGTTGATTGATTGATTGCTGACATATGCATCCCTGTCTTCTGATTGTCAGTTTGATAGTTTGCGTGATGGCGAAGCTCAGATGTCTGTGTGCAGGCTTCCTCTTGTCTGCTTG